TTCCTGCCATTTTATCTCCCCATTCTATTTGAATATTATTTGTCTTTCCCCACTAGCATGTAAACTGTCTCTCCCCACTAGCATGCAAACTGTCTCTCCCCTCTAGAATGTAAACTCCAGTAAGCTCCCTGCTATAACCACAGAATTTAGAACAAGGTCTTAACATATAATAGTTTTCAATAAATATTAGTGCATGGATAAATTGAGCAAGGAACTATTCTGATTTCTGGGGATACTGTGGAAAATAACACAGAAAATATCCCTTACCTCATGGAACATTATTTGTATTGGGGAAGAAAAGATAAGGCAGAAACAAATATAGAACTTATAGAACTATATAATAATTTTTAAGTTAGTGATTTAGGTAGAGAGAATTAGTAAAAGCTCTTTTCAGTAAAGATTTATCTGAAGTGGTGACACTGAATGGAAGCCTAAAATATTTGAAAAATAATAGGCAAAATGTTGGGGTAAGAGTGTTCCAAGTAGGAAGATGAAAAAATTCAAGGCTTAAATAGAAGTTGGTGGGTATGGAAGGTGACACAAGAATAACACAACTGGACCCATGAGGGAAGGTTCTCAGTTCATGCCCTAAGGCTGCCCTGGATGCAAACCAGGCATATGTCTCTCTATATCTATCTATCTATCTATCTATCTATCTATCTATCTATCTATCTATCTATCTATCTATCTATCTATCTATCTATAAATATATATACACACACATAAATATATATATACACATACACATAAATATATATATATATTTATGAAATAGCATCTTATTCTTTAGTATTATAATATTCTCATGTAATAATACTACCCTTCTGCACCCCCCCCCTTTTTTTAGAGAGATTTTTGCTATAGGGCGTGTGCACTCACCAGAGAGAGAGAAAAAGAAAGTGAGAAATCACCCCCCAGGGAGGATGCCCATGCCACAATCCCTTCTCCAGTCTCCTCTCAGGATTTTGGGTACACACGCACATGAGTTTGAAGCCACTGGGTCCAGGATTTGAACCGCAGTCGATCACGTGGGAATCCAGTGATGTAACCATTAAACCATCTGCTGGTCCCTCTGCACCTTCTTTTAGATGTTATAGTCAGAGGACTCAGAAAGATATTACAGTTAGGAATTTTTTCTGAAGGGCCTTATCTTAGTATTGGTTTGTGACATTTGATTCCTTCTAAGTAACAGGAAAAAAAAAATAAGAACACTAGAAGTCTTATACATTTATCAGCTTTGTAGTAAGATAGCCTCTGAGGTCACAATTCATCTACACTCTTGTCATATTCATTCTTGGTTACTCAACCTAATTAAATTTGTAGGCAGGATTAAATTTCAAAGTGAAGATCTGGGAAGTAAAAATGCTTTACTATAAGAAAGATTGTTCCCCCTACTGTCTACCTCTTATCACCACTTTTGAAAGATAACAAAAGGAACAGTAAAACCAAACTATTTATTTACCTATATAGTCTTAAACGCATTCTTTTTAAAAAATATATTTATTTAATTTTATTTATTCATCCATTTTTAATTTTAATTTTAATTTTTAAAATTTGACCAGAGAGACACAGAGAGAAAGAGGCAAAGTGAGAAAGCAAGCCACCAGGTCCAAGATTTGAACCATGGTCAGCCATGTGGGAGTGTCCAGTGCCTTAGCCACCATGCCACTTGCTGGTCCCAGTATTAAACTCATTCTAAAGAAGAAGATGTCTAAGAAATATAATTCTCAGAGGATTAAAAAGGCATATGAATGGTTTTCTAATGGGAAAAATAGTGTCATTGGCTAGAGCTCTAGTTTATGTTGATATCTAAATACATATAGAGCTAATAAGGAAGTAAAGAACTTCATAACTGCAAAGGAACTTATCATTTCTGAAAGAAGTTAGCATGAACAATATTTACAGTAATTATTTTTTATCCATTTCTTTTTGTCACATATGGGCCAAGATTTTAGTAAAGTCAAGTTGAAACTGGGATGAAGAATAGAATAGCTGCCACCATGGAATGCTAAAGCAGCAGCAGTCCCACTTGAGGAACATGCACTAGTCTTACCGGCTGTCACTGAGTCTGTCTTTAGACCTAGCACTTAACTAAGTTAAATGAAATGCACTGTCATATCATATGGTAAATTAGAAGGCACACATTTAGAATCTGCCTGCTGGATCAGTTCATTTGAGGGTAACATTTACAAACATGTATTTCAAATACATAATTTCCTTTATGTGGACATACTCAAAACATTGGAGGGGGGGAGTGCTAGGAAACTTGGTAATAATAAAAAGAAATTCTTTAAACCAAATTTCCCAAGCTTTTTTGAGCATAGAGCTTAGTTGGTTTTGTTTGTTTATAACACGCTTAGGTGGAAACTGGCGAAGACTAAGATAATCATTTTAGTTTACAATTATTCACTAAAGAAATGTCCCATGCTGATGTAGGGAGACTTAGTTTTAGGGTAACAAATGATTTTCTTGTATATGATACTATCCTTTGAGTTAAACATTTTTACAACATGGCCAATGGTAACTCAAAGTCTTTAAAACTGTCAATAGCAATATAAGAAGCTGAGCTCAAATTTCTATTGTACTCTTAATGTTTATGTTTCCCAAATCAGCATGGAAACCCCTAGGACTAATATTATAGCATGTACAAATATCAGAACAAACAAGGAGTTCCTAGAAAAGAAACAAAACCATTGGGAAATTTGATTATATGGAGCAGCAGAAAGCACATCTTGAACTGTCAAGCCCACTAAGGCAGGGTGTACATAATTTATCTTAAAAAGAAGGCACAGCAGAAACTGGAGAAATCAATAAGCATCCAGTAGAAAACTGGATTAAATTTGAAAATAATTTGATGACAATAAGAACAATATAAATTATAATTAAGAAAGTATATTTAATTTATATTTTTTCAAATTAGAAAAGGGAAAAAAAATGTTGGTCTCTATGTTGCATAAAAATTGAGTCATGTATAATTGCTAATTAGATTACTTAAAATAAAAGTACTGTTACTGAAAGCTTTATATTTTGTCAGGCAAACATGAACTTTGTTGGCATTTATAAATAATATCCTTTAAAATATTGAGGAAGTGAACAGTCCAGAACAATATTAATTGTTACAAAGATGTAGTTCTCCCCAAATTTGTTTGTAGGTTTAATGTAATTTCAATCAAATGATTATTGGGAATCTTGGGGGACTTGACAAGAAGTTATTCTGCTTTTTTCTAGAAAGATAAATAGGTGATAAAAGGAAATAAATTATTTAAAATACAGTGCAAAGAAAGTAACGTAATAAGCAAACAAAACCATAGGCTTTAAACAATATGGCTCTGGCACAAGACCTGAAGCAGAATATATATGTTCTGGATATAGCATATGTCACACTATAGAAAGAAATAGCAAGAGAATTACTCTTAGTCAACAAAAAATTTAAAAACGGTCAATTAAATAAGGGGTCAATCAAATTAGATTGTTCTTACATAGCAAAAAGCAAAACATGAAAGAAAATTTGCTTACCTACCTGTAATTCCTTCCTCATTAAAGACAAAGGGGAGGGAAAAGTGTAG